GAAGACGGCTGAGGTGGTTTGGAAACGTTCTTTGTCATCAACCTCAGGGGCTCAGTGCTACTGCCCTCGTCTTGAAACCGTTGCCTAATTAGAAACGTCGAAGAGGGGGTCAACTCAAAACCTAGCTCGACTAAGTCCGTCAGGACATGGAAGTGGTTATTGGACCTTCGGTATTCCGTCTCCGGTGCTGGCGAAGAGAATGGGTCGAACTGTCCAGGTCTGCGGCCACGGATCGTCGAGCATGGAGAAGCACATTCGGGACGTAATTGAGGCCGGCCAGATCAGTCATGATCGCAGCCCTAACATGTACAAGTAAGTCAGGACAGCCAAGAAACACGACTGAGGTACTTTGAACTGAACAAATCGGGCAGAGGAGCCCAGAAGATATGAAACGCAGTGTGGCGAGAGAGCATGAACCTTTATGTTGGGGGGTAGGTTTACGGTCGCTCAGATGTAAGTGGAGCGACACTGCAGTAGTTACGCGTGTACGCGTGAGAACGATAATCGGGACTGTGGCGGGATTATCGATCGCGCGCCTGTAAGGGAGTCAACATTCGCCTGCACAGGCTGGCAGCTGAGAGGGCTTCCAAAACACATTGCAGCCGAGGTCTACTCTTCGTTGCAAGTCACATGAATTCAGTTTTTTGATAATTCATTAAACGCCCTCACTTCGAAAGAGGCGTGAAAGAGGTCAGCCCAAAAGGTGGTTTGATACAGTTCGCTAAGACACGGAATAGATCATATGACCCTTAGTATTCGGCTCTCATTGCCGGCGAACTAAATTTGTCGAGCTGATGCGGGTTGCCCAAGCGGGTTTGACGCCGACATGTCAATTTAGTAGTACCAACGCAGCTCTGTTATCTGAGCAATCTTAGAAGCTGTGTTTGTTGAACCATGTATTTCACGTCCCTTCGTAACGCGTGTCGTCCGTACTAAGTGTGTCTTGGTTACATGGCTCCATTGGTGAAAAGAGTGGACTCAAAAAAAGCCCAGTACATGTGACAATTCACAAAGCAAGGTCATAAAGCGCTTACCATTATTTCCCCAGTCACGGTTTTGAGAATGGCGACACCAAACTTATTTGGATTGTCACCGTCGTTGGCAGAGCGGTCCTCCAAAATCACCAAGAGGTGACGACTTTGACTGGTCTCCGCATCCAGTCTGCTGCTAGGGGGTTGGAGGTAACTGCTCGTTGAAAAGGACTCGTTCAGAGAACAATCCATTCGCTCTTCTTCATCGTCGACGCCGGGACTGCTGTC